TTATTCGCCGATACGGTGTCGTTTTCGCTAACATTTTATAGAAATTAGAGTTTTCGTGGCTTTTTCAACTGTTTTTCCTTCGTAATTTTCCTGCGAAACAAAAGCTTAAATTTGAATGTCGTCTTCCTTCACAGTCCAATGTTCTCTGCCGCGCTTTACACCATCCCGATCAGTCTCCGTCCACAAAAGCTGCCAACTTTGCTCAAATTCCGTCGTGGGTTTCCCTGAAATCCACCGCTACGTCGATCGATACCTGCCAAATCGAACTGGGTCAGGTCGAAAATGTGCACCTGGTCTCTCTATCCAAGCAAGGGAAGCTCAGAGAAGCGCGCCACTTTCTCGAGCAGATGAACGACGCGGGTGTATCCGTCAGTCCACTCGTATAAATGTTTTGTTTGAAATGTGTGGATTGATGGGTTCGTTGTCGGATGGAAAATCTGTGCATGGATGGTTGAGGAGGACAGTGAAGAACCCACTTGAGTTTCTTGAGAACGATGCTCTGCAGATGTATTGTGATTGCGGAGTTTATCGGTTGCACAGAAGGTGTTTGATGAGATGCTTCAAAGGAATTTGGGTTCTTGGGTTATAGTTATATCGGCGTATGCGCAGAAGGGTGCTTTGAACAGAGCTATTTCGATGTTTTCGAAAACGATAGAATCTGGGATTAGACCGAACGCATCGAGTTTTACAAGCATCTTAAGTTCCTTGACTGAGGAATCACTTTTGGAGCTTGGGAGACAGATACATTCTTATGTGATAAGAAGTGAAATGAGTAGTAATGTTTCGGTTGAAACGGCGATTGCAAACATGTATGTGAAGTGTGGGTGGTTAGAGGGTGCTAGGATTGTTTTCGATAGGATGGAAGAAAGGAATGCTGTGGTTTGGACTGGGTTGATGTGGTTTGGACTGGGTTGATGGTGGGCTATACTGAAGACGAGAAATTAGAGGAGATTTTGGAATTGTTTGCTGAGATGGTTAAGAAAAGTGTAGAGGTGGATGATTTGTTTTTTCGATAGTTCTCAAGGCATGTGCTGGTTTGGAGGACTTGAATATGGGAAGGCAAGTTCATAGTTACGGTGTTAAACTTGGGCTGGATTCCGAGGTTCTGTAGGAACTCCTCTAGTGGACTTCTATGTCAAATGTGCAAAATTTGAGTCTGCTTGTCGAGCATTCAAAAGGATTCATGAACCAAATGATGTTTCATGGAGTGCTATAATCTCTGGCTATTGCCAGAGTGGGAAATTTGATAAGTGTGTAGAGATTTTTCAATCTTTAATTACTAAAGGTGTTACCTTAAATTCATTCGTACATACAAGCATTCTTCAAGCCTGCTCTGCAATCGCGGATATAAATTTGGGGACTCAAGTTCATGCTGATGCAATAAAAATAGGGCTCATTGCATTCTTGCATGGTGCGAGTGCATTGATTATGATGTACTCAAAATGTGGCAGATTGGACTGTGCCTATCGAGCATTTGAATCGATAGATAAACCTGATTCTGTGGCCTGGACTGCCACAATATGTGGTTATGCTTATCACGGCAATGCCTCCGAAGCTCTTACGCTTTTCAAAAGAATGCAGGATTCAGGTGTAAAGCCAAATTCAGTAACATTTATAGCAGTTTTAGCTGCTTGCAGCCATTCGGGTTTGGTCACAGAGGGAAAGCAGTATCTGGAATCAATGAGTAATGGAGGACGAACCATTGATCATTACGATTGTATGATTGACGTATACTCTCGTGCTGGACAACTACAGGAGGCACTTGATTTAATATAGAGTATGCCGTTTTAACCCGATGCAATGAGCTGGAAAAGTTTATTGGGTGGATGCTGGATGCATTGAAATCTTGAGCTCAGAAAGTTAGCAGCCGAGAACCTCCTCCAGTTGGACCCGGAGGACACTGCTAGTTACATAATTATGTTTAATTTGTATGCATCATCCGACAAGTGGGAAGAAGCTGCATTTTATAGAAGAATGATGGCTGAAAGGAACTTGAGGAAAGAAATCGGATGCAGCTGGATTACATTTACCGTCAACGGCAAAAAAGCATCGGTTTATAGTGGGCGATTAGCACCATTCTCAGATAGAACAGATATACTCGAAACTGAAGGAGCTGAGCATTTCTTTCAGGGATGCTGAAGAGTCGTTTCTTACCGAGGAGGACGTAGTGAGCGGTTTTCCAGAAAGGAAAGAACAGCTTCTTCACCACAGTGAGAGACTTGCCATAGCATTTGGGCTTATTTGCGCACCAGGTGATGCCCCTATTGTGGTTTTTAAGAACATCGGGGCGTGCAATGATTGCCATGAGTTCGCAAAACATGTTTCTGTGGTAACGGGGCGTGCAGTTGTTGTGAGAGATTCCAACATATTCCATCACTTCGAGATTGGGGAGTGTTCTTGCAGAGATCATTGGTAACCTGAGCAATTTCGAATGTTGATTTGGGCATGACAGTTGCGGGATGGATGCTTTGAAAGAGCAGTCTCATGGTCACTAGTTGATATCGGAGAGAAACGTACCTACACCCGGAATGTCACAGTAACGTTATCTCAAGTTAAGAACATGATCTCATGAGAAAGGTAAACAGCATCATCATCATATGGGTAAGCCATTCTCAGGGTTTAGGGCGGGGCACATGGCTTGCCTTGGCTCAAGCATGGGCTCATGGAAGCTTAGGCCGCTAGTGGGAGAAAATATTGTTTCATACTGGTGTATACATCCGTTTGTCTATGGGGTGCATTTGATTTAAACCTTGATACAAAAAGCAATATCACTTGTGATGTGATTCTTGATTGAAGCTTATATATTAATTTACAATTTTAGATGTGGAGACTTAGATACGAATGGTTAATAGTGATTTTTAAATTGTCTGTATGGTTTGTACCGCTTTAATTTTGCTTCATCAAATTATTACTTTTGCATTCTTATTAAATTCATGTTGAACTTGAACACATCGTTAATGTACTATAGAAGTTTTAAATAAATATTATAATTTAATCTACAATATCACGTTACATTCAGTACAACGTAAAAATACACTCTTGAAAATTAACAAAACGGATGATAAACTTATATTACCTTCCGTGGCACCATTGCATGTTAGTGCACGCGTGCCTGTCTGTCGGAAGGATTGGTTATACGTGTCTCTTGAAGATTGCTGCTCATCAAGAGAAGCATTAGTCACCTTGTCAAGTACACTGCACAATACAGAGGATCATTGCAGTTGGTAGTTAATAGTAGTTAACTCTTCTCTTACAATTATTTACTGGAGCTCACCGTCCTCTGTGTCTTTCCTTTGTGTGTGTTCAGTTCGTTGACACGTCTTTCAGTGAGAATCTCAACATTTTCTTCCGTTTTTAGTGGGTCCAAAGCCATCGCCACCATGCATGCCATAGATTTTTCAATTTAACCGGTACACGAGGTGATACATCACATCTTACTATATAAATTGTGAAATATGTATGTTAAAAAGTTAATAACTTAAAAAATAAAATTTCCCACCACTTATATAAAAACACGTGGTGTACCACTCGTATTTTCGTCACAATCAAAAATTTATCCATGAAAGAAGAGAACCCGAACTCTGTAAAAGCTTATTCATTTTCCTTCATTGTCCTATTTTTGAAAGTTTCAAAAACAAATTATAAGAATTCAACAGAGATTTGTGTGTGCATTATATCCATTGTTCTGGTGAAAATGTGAGAATGTGAGGATAAAGTTTCACATTGGTGAGTGATCAAACTATGTAAAGGGGCTTATAAGAAGTTGTGTTCCTTATCATATTATCAATAAATTTTATAGTAGAACCTCATATTTATAAGAAGAAAACCGTCAAGTAAAGACTCTTTATTTGTAGAGTATTTGCATGAATAGAGTTGATAAAGTTTTGAAAGGGTCCCCAAATTTTTTTGCCATCTAATAATGCCATATAGTAAAAAAATTACTTTTATTAACACTTTAAAATCTTATCGTGCACTCCTCATAAGTTTAACTTTTTTTTTTCTCTCTAAATATAAGAATTTGGAGTGCATAATAAGATACTTCGAGTGTCAATAACAACTCTGTAAAAATGAACATTTTTTTTTCTAAAATTTATTATATAATAATGCTATACATTCAAATGAAACTTTAAACTTAGAGATTTTGAAGCCTCTTTTCTTGTTTGGTTGTTTAATATTGAACAACTTTTTATTATTTAGTGAAAGTTACTTTTGTAGCACTTTATATTTATTATTTAATGACATTTGTAAACTTACAATCAGTGAATCTTAAAGTTTGTTTTGATTTAAATTATTACTTTCTAGCATCAATATATTATCTTACTTTTTTTGTAAAAACTATCTTAAAAGTAAGCTCTTATAAATTTCGTACAAAACTCCCGTAATCTCAGAAAAGCCATGTTGCCAAGTATTAGAATATGATCCAATCAAAAAGTATACTTGGAGACACAGAAGATATAATGATGTTGTGATCCAGGATATGTGGTTAGATATCATTGTAAAGAATTAAACAAGTAGAAACAAACAAAACTCACCTCGTAAGCTCCTAAGCTCGTAGCTATATGAATATGATTGCATCATCTCATCAGTTGGGCAGCAAGTTACACGTTCCTGAAAGTTGATGGTATTGGTAAAAGGCAAAGCGTCGGTTAAATGTTAATTTCAGTTGGCGCCAAATAGAATTTGTGGTGGGTTTGGATAAGTCCTCCTGGTCCTATCCGCATCCAATCCTCTCCTATGCATTATATATACATATACTTCAGGTTGCTATTAGAGTGTATTTTTGCTCACCATCATTTATATGGTGTATGCTCATCATCATTTATCATCGTTAGATGAGTTTTAATTTTGAAATTTATGTTTATCCACTACACGAATTTTGAAAATCAAATTCATCTAACGATAATAAATAGGATGATAAACATACATTACACTAAATAATGGTGATCCCACTCACATGTTATTTTTCTCCTCAGCGAATCCCTTTTTGTGTGTTGGGTTTCTCTCACCTCCTTAAATTATTCCTACTTCACTCACTCTTGCACCCACTCATTTTTTTTCACTTTTTTCTTCTTCTTCTTCTTCTGGCTTTTCACCTCTCTTTCTTCTCATAATTCAACTTAAAAAGCCTCCTTGCTTGGCAAGTTTTTGGAGCGCTGGGTTTTGTTGTATGCAGCTTTTCATGGTTGGTTTCATTTCTTTCTGGTGAGCTTTTACTTATTTGTGTTTTTTTACAACTCAGATGTGCTTTGATCTTCTCAATGCTAGTGAAGAGGGTTTTGGTTTTTCTAAATTCTGCATGCGTTAGAGATTTAATGAATTGGATTTGGTGGAGAAAGAAAAATGGGCAGCGATCTTACAATTCTTTCTAGTAATTAGTATAAAACAAATATTGTTAACTGTCCTCCACCGACACTTGGGATGTCATGGTTGTTAGAGTAAATATAGAAATATAGAGAATAATCCGAATGATGATTTTGAGGTATGATTTGAATCGTTTTGTTAAAGTGTTATTTGTTCCCACTCGAATGAGTTTGCTAAAGGGTTTTTGGCAAATCACTTTCAGGATACAACAAAGTATGGAATATTCGATTAGCAAAACCGAATTATATTCCTTTATAAATAACTAGAAAGAAATTGTATGAACGTGATGTAGAAAGAAGAGAGCAAGGAATGTAGAAACAAATTTCTGAAATTGCATGTGAAACATTATGCCACAATAGGTATTTATAGGCATTAAAACATCGTTCATTGAGTCTGTTTATTTTAGTTGAAGATATACAACCCTTCTTAATAGTGTTGACCTAACAGACATGTCTTCTATTTAATATTTTCAGAAATTAAATTTGACTTATTACATCTTTTAATTTTACTCATACAATTTGAGTAAGCATCTTATCTTTTAATCAAAAGTTACAATCATTCAACAAAATATACAACAGTAAAAGATTGAATGAAACCCAACCTTTTACAAAAGGTTGCGGTCCGTACACACACACGCTGCACAATGCAGCACCAAGTCTCATATATATATATATATATATGGCCAATCGTGCACTGCCGTGTCATTTTTCACGTGATAATGTCTGATTGACTTAGGATACCGTCACCATGGGTTCAGGTGCATGGAAGTTTGTCTTCTACAAATGTGTTTTCTAGTATTTGACAAGACAAGGCAAGTGATCATTGCGATTGCATGGGGTTGGGGTGGCACCATGAGGTGATTAACTCCTTTGTTTATGTCACAGAGTATCTTCTATACTTCTAACGAAAGTTGCACTTTTGTGTAGGGACTCCTTGGATGCAGTTTAAATGACTTGATTTTGGCATCTTCAAACTTAATTGCTTCTGGATAAAGCACTTTCTTGAAATTATCCAAGTCCATATGGATGTTGGAGAGACAAAATGTTCCTACGGCAAGCCTCCGTGGATATTCAAAGGCAGGTAAGTGTCCAACAGCACTTGCTTTTTTTATAACTTGACTGTTCTTTGTTCTTGGTAATGATAAGGGACTTGCTGATTGCCCTGGTTTTTGTACCTAGCGCGTTGTATCAACTCCATCTTGTCAAAGCAGCAACTGTCCGAGCATGCATTCCGAAAGATTTCAGATTAGTTGAAGCATTTGGGTAAGTATAAGTATAACATTGTTGTAAAAGAGAATAGTGTTCATATGATTTGTGATTGTTGTGAGAATTTGATCACTGAAATTGTGTTTACACTTGTTTCAGGTATACTCTTGGCGGCTTCTTTCTTGCCAACTATGATGACAGTCCAGCAGGAGTCTTTGATGAGGTTTATGTCTTCTGTTTAATCGTCTCATCTAGGAAGTTAATACTTATTCAGCCTTGATCCAGAAATGAATCAGTTGTTAATTGTAGGAGTAGTCCATGTTTGCTTAAGCATGATAAAGAAAACACATAAGTTCAAGTTTATTCAACCAGTCGCTAACGAGAGTGGGTTTATTTTCTCCCTTTCAGCTCGTTGTGATTGCTGGACTTGTATGGAGCCCTCCAACATCTTGCGCGTATGTTTGCCTCAACCTTATCTTTCTCTGTAATAAGATGTTTGCATACAATCTTATTCCGGAACATGTACACTGTTAACTTTGGGGCTAATTATTCCCTAAGCTTGCCTCTTGAGCAACAATACCCTAATTCCTAAACTAATTTATGTCGGTCTTTATACGAGTGGTGTGACTGCCAGTTGAGTTACATCTTTTCCTGTCAGATGTGACATTGTGTGAGGGTATATAGACTTGGTAAATCCTCTTTAGGGGCAGAAAGTAGTGTGTCGTGGGGCGTACACGCAGAACTCCTCTCTAGGAGAGAGAGATCTAATTACTGAGCTATGCCTAGCAACAGCTAAATCATTAGTTTGTTCTTGTTCTAAGTTAGAGTTGATATAATCCTGTTGCTGAAGTACTTTCTTTATGAGTACTTTTACTTGTTTTTGTCAAACAGCTGGGCAGCTAAGGTGCTTGTGAATAGTGATGAAGCTTGTAAACATGGACGAAAGGTGGGAGGCTGCATAAGGCACTTTGCCACAGAGTTTGTCACAATTCTTAAATTTCGTATGTAATTCTTATGTTGATTGCAGTCCCCTCTTGCAGGAAGTAGGGCTTCCAAGTCATGTTGCGAGGTTTTCAAAGGTATGATTTGCATTTGAATTATAAACATTTTTTGCAGCTTGCATATGGTGAACTCTCCATCCCTAAGGTGGACTACGGATACAGTTCTTTACTAAAAGTATTTAAGAAGGGAAGTGTTATTGGCACTCCAAAAATCTCATTCTACACTTCTCACTAGTGTAATTTTCTTTCCTATTATAGAAAGTTTGGAGTGATAAGAACAATTCCCTTTAAGAAATCCATTTTTCTGTGCAAAACAGAGGATTACAGCAGTTTCAAGGCAACCAAAGAGCAAAAATATGGGATTTCTTAATGTAAATGGTAGCAGTGCTGCTTTCTGTGATCCAAAAGATTGTATGGAAGTTCAAGTGACTGAAATCAAGGCGTCGTCAGTTAAAGATTCCTGGAATGTCAACCTCACCACTTTTGGTAAGTTGGTTAATCTGAACATCTCATTTCATTAGTATAACTTGGATGTTTTTCTTCTGTGGTTTTATGCTCCTAATTGCGAGTTTGATGATGGCAGTGCCTGAATCGAGTGGTGAGTGGAGGGGGCCAGCGATCAAAATGTCTCTTCCAAGTTTTAGGTAAGTTTCTCGCTTAGTTTCCCTTTGCTATTAGAGTGTTTAGCTTTTTCCCTTATTTCCTTCCTTCTGTTGTCAAATTGTAGCGGCGGCACAGAATATTATCCCAACCTTCTCAAGTACTCTTGCCGGATTGAGTGCAGGTTTTCTTTTAGTTTCAGTTACTTTCTTTATGTTCATCAGGCTTCATTATGTTAAACTCGCATGTATGCATCGGTTCCCACCTAACTCAAGTGTTAATTGTTAGTTTGTTGCCTGATCCAATTCTGATAGGGTACAAGCAGTGCATCCGGCAAAAGTTTCAGGACCATCTCCGATGCCAAAGAATGAAACAGAAAAATCTTCAGAAATCCATACCAGCAATACAAACAACCACGCAACCGAAGAATTTGTGGATAAAGGCAACCTCCTCTGGGAATCTGTGATGTTATCCAAGCCCGTATTGGCATTGCAGTTCAGTTGTATGAAAATGCAGGTTGAAGCTCCAGTTGTAGTTTTCAACTCCAAGAACTCTTTAACAACCACTTGATCATAATTTATTTTGGCAGGCTGTAATGTTTTTTTATATAGAATTATTTATCTTGATGTATTTTTGCCGGAATAAATCGGCTCCACCTGAATAATTCAAACAGATCAATTACTTGAAATATTATTATACAAAAATGGAAACTTGAAATTTGACAAAAGCACTCCCTTTCTTTACCTCCTTTTTTTTTTTTTCAAATTTTTACAAAATTCTACTTTCCACAGCATGGAAAACCCATGAAACATGTTACAAGTAACAAACAAATGCAATACAATCTCAATTCGGACCCTAACTGATCAGTAGATCAGAATACTTCTGGTAGAGGCCGGCCCTCCAAAAACGACTTGAACAGCACGAGTGATCTCTCAGGCTGCGAGAATGGCGCTTCGTGTGATGCTCCTCTAATGGTGGCAAAAGAGAGCATATTACCATAAACTTGAGTCCATCCACCAACCTGCAGATGAAAAGATGAAGCATTCAATTATCAAGTTACAAATTCGTAACAGAAGCATCTGAAAGTTCTTAAATTCAAGTAATCACAAGTATGATTTACCTGCTGCCCTCCAAACCAGACTCTATAAGGTACAGTGGTACTTAATCTTAACTGCTCTGCAAGTCCGTTAACTAACTTTCGACTTCCAGTCAACGGGATAACAGAATCTTGGTCGCCACTGAATGTTTAAAAATTAAATTTAGTCAACTGCAATGAAATTTAGGATGAAACAAAATGTTTTGATGCTGTCTAAAGTGCATCTACCTGTAAACCAAGACTGGTATTCCTGCTTTGATGAGTTTGCCTACGATTGTGATCGTTGGTATCTCCACATCCAGCTGCTGATAATCCAGTATGCTGCCATAACACAGAAGATAATTTCAAAGGCAAAACGTTAACGTGAATACTACTTTGAGATGCATTCGAATTTTTGAAATGTATGGCTTTGGAAGAGAATTACGTGCTGCAAACTGCCCATTGACGAACTCTAACAAGACGAGCATGAAGCGCCTTCTGCACGTCTGGCCTGTTCAGATAATTAACTATTTCATCATCTACGCATACATCTATTGTGTCAGCAACTTCCTGCAAAACGAACAAGTTCAATTGTTTAAAAAATGGATGCGAACTTCGTGAAACCAAACCACAGAATTTCATGCTGCAATGGAGCAATAGATGGTATTCACCTGAGGAAGGAGGGCTTTGGATTGGGAGACCACAGATGATATACAAACATCAAGGGTGACATCATACTTGTCAACAAATTTACTGGTTTCTCTGCTCACTTGGCTCATCACCATCGCACAAATAGGCGAAAGTGAGCCTCTGTAATATTCACTTACATACCGCGAGTAGTTGCAAACGGAAGTGAACATGTTGTATGTTGAATCAGATATCAACCCATGAGACCAGAAGAACTCAGCTCTTGAATTTAAGTCAGTTGCAAATTCTAGGACTGGATTGCCCAACTGCCATGAGAACAAAACATTTAGACCAAAATCTAGACGACGAAAAGCTGGTAATTTTCAAAGATTATTACTCACAGCAATTCCTTTCAAATTGAACTGATATTCCTTCTTGAATTGGAGCATGAGTTCTGCTAGCTGAGGAACATAATGACCTACGGGACAAATAAAATCAGTTCCCTTTTTACTTATTGGGGTATTTTTTCTGACGTCGAAAATATTTTCAACATTAGGATCGAGTCAATCAACATCGAGAAATAAGCAAAAGTGAGGAACAAGATCAAGAAAATATACCAGCATAGCTTTCTCCAGTAATATACAGACTTCTATTTCTGTATTGGGGAAACTTTTCTAACCACTTTTGCAAGAAGAGAAGATTGTCCTGGCTGTAGACAACAAGGACAAAATTCAGAAATCACACATAGCCTGTAAAGGTGAGCTTTTTGTCAACTCGCGAGGACAATCACAAAACAGCATCACACATGGCATGTCTGTAAAGTGAATTTTGGAAATTAAAAAAAAAAAAATTAAATTAGTGGAAACCCCATCATGAAATATTCTTTTGAATCTTTGGTGTGACAAGATATTAAAAGATTTCATATGGAACTTTGGAAGAAATAAAAAGAATACTTTTTTTGGGAAAATGAACAAAGGAAGATGATAGCAAGACAAGTTGACTTGAAAGTTAGGTGCAGAAATTTTGTTTCTTTCCTAGCAAGATTTCTACTTGCTGAGAAAATTTGAAAGACAGAAAAAAAATTTAGAATCCGTTACCATAACCATTTCGTTTTTAGTTTTTAGTTTTCATTTTTTTTTATGACGGAAAATAGAAAAAAAATCAAATTTGAAATAGGTGTCATGCCTGTGATGCGATCGGTTACACCCTCATAGGAAGAAGTATCCGTTGAGTAAGAGAACCCCACTCCAATTGGTGTCTCCAGGTACAGCATGTTTGCTTCTGCAAACCAATGAGCACGTCAAGCAATCTGCAACCTTGGATTGTTTTGAAAAACACCATTGATCAGAAAATATCTTACCTGTATTCCAGCTATGTTCATTTCGAACCAAGACTTCTCCTTTGGGCCTGAACGGTCCGTTCTCAGAAAATGCCCCGACTCCAAGGGAAGAACAACCAGGACCTGGAAAAATCACAACCCATCAAAAACCCAGAAATAAAATCTCATTTATTTAAAAACCCAGATGGTAAACATTGTGAGAAGTAAAAAAGATGGAAAATTTAGTGGTGGGTAAGAAATGGGGACCTCCATTGAGCCAGAGGACAAGAGGCTTGGAAGCTGGATCTATTTCTGCTTCAGCTAAGTAGTAAAACAGAGCTTTCTGTTTTTTCTCATCAACGGTCACATAACCCGAATACTGCTGGAACCCGACTGGGGGCTGACCCGGCAACCCTGTAATTCTATCGAGCAGAGAAGGAAAAGCTTCTGCTTCAAAGGAGAAGAAGTTATGTGGAGGAGAAGTAGAGTGAGTACAATGGTTTTCCATGGTAGGGAAATCATGGTTTGAGTGGGAAGAGAGAGCAAAGAGCCTAGAGAGAAAGAGAGGACGAGTGAATGGAGGTCAGCTGAGGTGCAATGGTGGCCAGAGTGGGGGCACTATATAAAGATTACAAGAGACGGGATATCTTGTTAGTTTGCAATTATATTAGGCTTTCTAGCCTAAATGGTCAATAAGATTATTATAACTTCTTATTTTGAAATTTGACATTGAAAATCGAAGGTGGCTTCTGAGTTTATCTGCAGCAAATTATTTTGATCATTCAGTGAAAAGCATGTCAAAATCAACGTTAAGTGGAGGGGTTGTTTCACAAAAATATCCTTTAAAATATGGTCATGTGGTCATTCACATGGCAATTTAACGAGAATATTGACAGATTTTTCACAGAACGAGCAAAATGATTTACGGTGGAGAAACTCAAAGACCACTTCTATCGATTTTAATTGTGAAGGACCAAAGTGAGGAGTTATGCCAATTTTAGGACCATATTAGCTAAAAACCTTTATTATCATTGAACTTTTGTCCGTTCAGAGACATTGGACCCAAAATAGGAAAAGGACTTACATGAAACGGTTCATCACCACGTGACGTCCTTGACCAATAATGCGTTGTTGTGTGCAAGTTTTTCTCCACATAGCAATGTAGTATTCAATAAGAGATGCCATATAGCAATAAACTCATTTCATACAAATTGCTCTCCTGAAACATTCTTTGGTTCGACCAGTGCACCACGTCATCCGTCACCACACTTAAAAAAGAGACCCAGACATCGAGGTGGGATAAGTATTGGGTGTGAGGAGAGCAACTTATATAACACATGTACACAATCATGGTGTCATCCAATGCTAATGATATAAGGGCACGTACACATTGAAAAAAAAAAAAAAAAAAAAAAAACTTACCCTATAAAAAGGAATGAGTAATGATACAATGATAAGGACACGACCACCACATAGAACTTACCTCTATAGGGGGAATTCAATGTGTGTGGAAAAGAGTGACGTGGTTCCAATTAACATTAGACTCCAAAATTTCTCCTATTTGCCTAGAGAAAGAATCAAACGGTACGGATACACTGTAATCATAGCATTATGTGTCAATTATAAATAACATGTGTAAGTTCTTTTATTGTATGATCTTGTATGATTAGCATGTGACATTCTCGTAAAAATGTATTTGTATTGTGCAGGTTACTCTCGTCTGCCTAAGTGTGTCTTTTGTGTATAACTTGACTGAGTGAGTCAGCAAATAGGTTGTTACTGTTGCTGAAAATGAAAAGAGAGAGTGTGCTTTAAAGACACTGGAAACTCTATTAATTCACAGATTGTACAGAACTCTACTGTAATTGTCTTTTTGGCGTTAGTCCAAGAAGTACTCCAAAATCTACAACTGAAGCTGCAATTGGATTCACTGTAAATATATTCGAACCTGATTTCTCTCCCTCCAAGTTCTCATACACTTTCATCCCCTCTTATTTGTACAGTTACGGTTAAGTCACGTCAACATTTTATATCATTATTACTTTTTGTTTTATCTTTATAAAAAAATCAATATAAAATATTGACGTGACTTAATCGTGACTTTACAAAATAAAAGAGAATAAAAATGTACGGAAATTGAAAGGGCAGAAAAGCCTGGTCCAGTATACTCTGCTCCATATACAACTTAAGATAAAAAAATTGAATTAAATAAATATTTTTAACAAAGGGAAAAGTAGCTATATAAGCATGGCAAGGGCACCACTAAACAGTTGAAGGCACCACTAAACAGTTGAAGGTGACTACCAACCAGAGTGTAATTATGTCTCCACAGAAACTCACTACAACTTTCTACAACTTTCTACAACTTTTGGTTTTTTTTAAAAAGAAATAGTAAGGTATTGAATCATGAGTTATGATTTAGGAGGGTCAATCCCAATGGTAAAGACATATCACATTTCAGTCCATATTTGATAAAGTCTCTAAAAGCATACGTACAGGCATAAACGATTGATTTTAATACAACAAACAAGTCCTTCAAAATATAAGAGCATTTCCAAGAGATGTAAAACCACCAAAACTCTATTTTAAATAGTCAAATCTAAAAAAAAAAAAACACGCTTCTAAGAGCATTCCCACCGTAGCATATTGCTCGGGGGACTGTCTCCAGAACAAAGGCCCGAGGGCCGGTGGATGGCGTCCAGCGTGAGGCAGGCCGGGGATGGGGAGGCCCGAGGGCCGGCCCGTGAGGGATTGCCAGCCCTTGAGCCCGAGGTGGGAGTGACGCAAGGCTGACGCCAGGGTGGCGTCAGCGTATTATTTTATTTTTTTTGTGTCAGGCGCTGCACCCCACCCGCGTGGGGGCGCGTCCCGACACAATAATCAAAAAAAAAAAATGTTTTGTCAGTTACCGTTGGGAAGCCACGTGGCTTCCCACGGTACGTTAGATCCTAACGGTCACTTAATGTGGACCGTTAGATCTCAACGGTAAAAAAAAATAAAACTGTCAGATTTAATATCTACCGTTCGATCTGAGATCAACGGTGGATATTAAAATGCTTTAAAAATTAAAAAATAAATGAAATAATAGTTTAAAAAATCTGAAAAGTTACCGTTGTGACACGTGGCACAATCTGGAGCGTTGGAATTCAAATTTTTTTATATCCAACGGCAGAGATTAATTAATTGAATAAAAATTTAAAAAAAGTGTAAAAAATTCAAAAAAATTCAAAAAAATATCTGAAAAATCTGAAAAAAATTGTAAAAAAAATTGTTTTTACTTTTCTATAAATACCTTCTCATTATCATCTACCTTCACAACAATTTCATATTTTCTCAACTACTTTCAATCACATTCCTTTCTTTGTCTCAAAGTTTGAATCCATTTTTTTTCAACAAAATGACCACTGGTGCAGGTACGAATTGGTCGCTTATTGAAGATGTTGCGTTGTGTATTAGCTGGGTTGAAGTTACTCATAGTTCGCTTACGGGTAATGAGATGCAGTTGCGAGAAATGTGGAGTCTTATTCATACCAATTATCTTGAGAAAATTGGTGGGAAAAGAACCAAAGAATCGATGTCCAGTCGTTGGAAATTACTTAGCCAATCGTTTAGTACGTGGAGAGACGCTTTGGCACAAGCTAGTAATAATATTCGAAGTGGGGAAAATTACTCGGATATGGTAACAAGATATTATTATTTATTGTTTGTATTCTTTATTTGTTACGTACAAAATTTATTATTTATTGTTACTTATTTGTTACATTATAATTATGTTGTTTGTTACATTATAATTATGTTGTTTGTATTATTAATTTGTTTGTTACATTATAATTATGTTATTGTTACTTATTTGTTACATTTATTTGTTACATTATAATTATGTTGTTTATATTATTTATTTGTTACTTATTTTCATTAAAATTAATGTATAATATCACTTACATTAAGAAAAAAAAATGTGTATATTTAAGGTTAAAATTATTTACTAAACTTGGAACTCTAGCCCCATGTTATGATTAACATGACATATATATATATATATATATATATATTTGCTTGTTATGATTAACATGACATATATATATATATATATATATTTATTTGTTAATTATTTTCATTATTTACTAAACTTGAAGCCTTCTTACTTATTTTCATTATCTTTGTGAAGATGGATGGTGGATTATATAGAGGATTCAGAAAGGATTAGGTTCTGCATAATGCCACGTGGCATGCCGTCATTCGTTAAAAATCTGATGGAAATCTATCATCCAAGATTGTTAACAGATTATGACACGTGGCATGCCGTCATTCGTTTAAAATCTGATGGAAATCTATCCTCAAAGATTGTGAACCGATTATGACACGTGGCGTGACGTGATTGGTTAATAATCTTATCAGAAATCCATATTATAATTATTTATTTTGTATTATTTAATAATACTTAGGATAATGACACGTGGCGCACCGACAACGATTAAAAATCTTATCCGATATTACATTTAAAATTATTTTGTATTAATTTTATAAATAAAAAAAATACTAATATTTTATTGCCTATTGCCAGGGCTATAGAAGTGTAACGGTGGAGATGCAAAATCTATTGCCAGGGCTACTTACTGTTCATTAAGGGCAATTACTGTTCATTAGGTGGATTGAATAGTGTATTGCCAGGGGGGAGGGCTCCAACGCTGGAGTTGCTCTAACAAACTCTATAAAAAAGTCTCTATTATAACAAAATAAACCGTCACTCTTAAAATTTACATAGTAACTCTTTATTAGCTAAATATTAATAATAAAAAATAAAACTCAAGATGGACCATTGAGCAAAAAAGAAAAGAAAAAGAGAGAAGTCTGTTTTAGAAAATGAGTGTGTTTGGTTTGAATTGTTAATAATAAAAATATTCAATTTTTATCAAAATAGAGAATGTTGTTTAAAGATAAAAAGTAGCTAAAATAATTTTTTGATACTGTTTACTTACTAGTTTAACAAAAATTTAGAGCTTCTCTCTAATCAAATGAGCTAAGATTAAACTATTGCGCGTGCGCCCTAGCAAGCACTCAGCCGCAGAAGGCTATAAACCTCTATTTTCCCATGGTTCTGTGTGAAGTAGGACAAAACATATTCCGTTATTCCATGTCTTGTTTGCTTCTTCTCAGCCCTCGAGCTCAGCTTAAGGTAAGGTCTCAATCTTTGCTCGTGACAAATTGGAAACTGTCCAACTTATTATTCATTTTATTTTTCCGCACGAATTAAATCCTAATTAATCCGCATGCAAAATTTTGTTTTTATCGTCGCCAAACAAAATGTACTTACCCGTTGCAGCAGCCAGCATCTCTGCAATATTTAGGTCACTTTTTTTAGGAGAAAAAAAAAGAGAGAGTAGGGTTTCAATGGAAAGTACCTGTTCCTGTGCCCGACTTTGGTCGGGAAATGTGCCCAAATGGAAGTGAAGCAATGAGCATTCTGTGAGTTTGGAAATCGAAGCATAGGCTTCACTTTTTTCTTCACCTCTTTTTTTAAAAAAATTATTCTTTATTTTAAACTTGATGGTCTTTTTTTTTTTTTTTTTTTTCTTTTGTTA